ATCGCCCCCCCCCCAGTTAACCCCTTCACTGCCCTGTCACCAGTGTCATTGATTACAGTGAACAGATTTTCACTGATCACTGTATTAGTGTCACTGGTGACTTCCGATAGTGTTAGCGCCCCTCCTAGATAGCGCCAGTTTGCCCGCTAATGCACGGGATTTTTTTTACCAAAAACATGTAGCAGAATACATTTTGGCTTAAATTTATGACTAACTTTGAGTTTACGATATATTTTTTATAGCTGAAAGTAGAAAATATTGTTTTTCAAAATTTTCTTGATTTTTTTGTTTTATAGCGCAAAAAATAAAAAGCGCACAGGTGATCAAATACCACCAAAAGAAAGCTCTATTTGTGTGAAAAAAAGGACGTAAATTTCGTTTGGGTACAGCATTGCATGACTGCGCAATTATCATTTGAATTAGTGCAGTGCCAAACAGCAAAAAAAGGCCTGGTCATTAAGGGGGGTAAATCCTCTGGAGCTCAAGTGGTTAAAAAACACACACCTGTTTTGGGTTTACTGGTTTCAAGAAGCACTGTCTGATGTGAACCATGCCTCGCAGAAAAGAGCTCTCAGAAGACCTACGATCAAGAATTGTTGACTTGCATGAAGCTGGAAAGGGTTACAAAAGTATCTCCAAAAGCCTTGATGTTCATGTGTCCACGGTAAGACAGACTGTCTACAAATGGAGAAAGTTTAACACTGTTGCTACTCTCCTTAGGCGTGGTCGTCCTGTAAAAATGCCTGCAAGAGCACAGCGCAGAATGCTGCATGAGGTAAAGAAGAATCCCAGAGTGTCAGCTAAAGACCTACAGAAACTTCTGACACATGCCAACATTTTTGTTGACACATCTACAATAAGGAAAACATTAAACAAGAATGGAGTACGTGGGAGGACACCACGAGGAAGCCATTGCTGTCCAAAAAGAATATTGCAGCATGTTTGAAGTTTGCAAAAGAGCAACTGGATGTTCCACAGCACTACTGGCAAAATATACTGTGGACAGATGAAACCAAGATTGAGTTGTTTGGGAAGAACACACAACACTATATGTGGAGAAAAAAAGGCACAGCACACTAACATCAAAACCTCATCCCCACTGTAAAACATGGCAGAGGGAGCATCATGGTTTGGGGCTACTTTGCTGCCTCAGGGCCTGGACGGATTGTTGTCATTGATGGGAAAATGAATTCCAGAGTTTATCAAGACATTTTGCAGGAAAACGTATGACCATCTGTCCGCCAACTGAAGCTCCGCAGAGGATGGGTGATGCAACAGGACAAAGACCCAAAGCATACAAGTAATTCAACAAAACAATGGCTGCAACAGCACAGAATACGCCTTCTGGAGTGGCCCAGTCAGAGTCCTGACCTCAACCCGATTGAAATGCGATTCACACCAGACATCCCAAGAATATTGCTACACTGAAACAGTTTTGTGAAGAGGAGTGGTCCAAAATGACTCCAGATCGTTGTGCAGGTCTGATCTGCAACTACAGGAAACGTTTGGTTGAGGTTATTGCTGCCAAAGGAGGGTCAACCAGTTATTAAGTCCAAAGGTTCACATACTTTTTCCTCCCTGCACTGTGAATGTTTACATGTTATGTGCAATTAAACCATGGCAACATCTGTTTGTGTAGTATTATGTTCAGCAGACTGTTTTCTTCTATTGTTGTGACTTAGATGATGTTCAGAGCACATTTTATGCCCAATTCATGCAAAACTCCACGTAATCCCAAGGGGTTCACATACTTTTTCTTGCAACTGTAGTTAGTCTGGCTGAAAAAAAAAGAGTCCATCTCGTTAAACTAGTAAAAAAAAAATTATAATCCTTTACCCAAAGTTGATCCACAGGAAAGAAAAAAAAACCCCAGCAAAGCATGATCCAGTTTGCTCCTGCAGGAGAAAAAATTCTTTCCTGATCCCCCAAGAGGCAATTGGATATTCCCTGGATTAACTTTACCTATAAATGTTAGTATCCAGTTATATTATGTATATCTAGGAAAGAATCCAGGCCTTTTTTAAAGCAATCCACTGAGCTGGCCAGAACCAAATCTTGAGGGAGTCTATTGCACATTCTCACCGCTCTCACTGTGAAGAAACCTTTCTGTATTTGAAGACTCAATTTCTTTTTCTCCAGACATAAAGAGTGCCCCTTTGTCCTCTGTAATGACCTCAAGGTGAATAACTCTACAGTGAGTTGACTATATGAACCACTGATGTATTTATACATGTTGATCATACCCCCCCCCCCTTAATCTCAAGAGAATAAATTCAGTTCCTCTAATCCTTCCTCATAGCTGAGCTCCTCCATGCCTCTTATCGGTTTGGTTGCCCTTATTTGCACTTTATCCATTTCCCCAATGTTCGTTTTGTGAATTGGTGCCTAAAAATTAACTGCATATTTCAGATGAGGTCTTGCTAATGATTTGTACAGGGGTAATATGATATCTCTCTCTGGAGTCCATGCCTATTTTACTACAAGAGAGCATTTTGCTCACTTTAGAAACATCAGCTTGGCATTGCATGCCATTATTAAGCTTGTGATCTACAGGAACTCCCAGATCCTTCTCCACCATTGATTCCCCCAATTGTACTCCCCCTAGTATGTATGATGCATGCATATTCTTAGCCCCCAAGTGCATAACCTAACATTTATCAACATTAAACCTCATTTGCCACATAGTTGCCCAGTTATGCAGTGCATTGATGTTGGCTTGTAAATTGGAGACATTCTGTAAGGACATTCTGCCACTGCAAAGCTTGGTGAAATCTGCAAAGACTGAAATGGTATTTTTAATCCCAGACCCTATATAATTTATAAATATATTAAAAAGTAAGGGTCCCAACACTGAACCTTGGGGTACACCACTAAAAAACCTAGACCATTCAGAGTATGAATCATTAACTTTACCTTACACTTTAGCCACGTATAGGGAACTGTGTCAAACGCTATTGTAAAGGCTAAGTATACCACGTCCACGGCCACCCCTCTGTCCAAGATTTTGCTCACCTCCTCATTAAAAGAAATCAGATTTGTTTGACAACTTCTGTCTTTCATGAATCCATGCTGTCTGTTGCTTAAAATATTTTTTTTCCAGCAAGAACTCATCTACAGTCGGGTCCATAAATATTGGGACATCGACACAATTCTAACATTTTTGGCTCTATACACCACCACAATGGATTTGAAATGAAACGAACAAGATGTGCTTTAACTGCAGACTGTCAGCTTTAATTTGAGGGTATTTACATCCAAATCAGGTGAACGGTGTAGGAATTACAACAGTTTGCATATGTGCCTCCCACTTGATAAGGGACCAAAAGTAATGGGACAGAATAATAATCATAAATCAAACTTTCACTTTTTAATACTTGGTTGCAAATCCTTTGCAGTCAATTACAGCCTGAAGTCTGGAATGCATAGACATCACCAGACGCTGGGTTTCATCCCTGGTGATGCTCTGCCAGGCCTCTACTGCAACTGTCTTCAGTTCCTGCTTATTCTTGGGGCATTTTCCCTTCAGTTTTGTCTTCAGCAAGTGAAATGCATGCTCAATCGGATTCAGGTCAGGTGACTGACTTGGCCATTGCATAACATTCCACTTCTTTCCCTTAAAAAACTCTTTGGTTGCTTTTGCAGTCTGCTTTTGGTCATTGTCCATCTGCACTGTGAAGCGGCATCCAATGAGTTCTGAAGCATTTGGCTGAATATGAGCAGATAATATTGCCCGAAACACTTCACAATTCATCCGGCTGCTTTTGTCAGCAGTCACATCATCGATAAATACAAGAGAAGCAGTTCCATTGGCAGCCATACATGCCCACGCCATGACACTACCACCACCATGCTTCACTGATGAGGTGGTATGCTTAGGATCATGAGCAGTTCCTTTCCTTCTCCATACTCTTCTCTTCCCATCACTCTGGTACAAGTTGATCTTGGTCTCATCTATCCATAGGATGTTGTTCCAGAACTGTGAAGGCTTTTTTAGATGTTGTTTGGCAAACTCTAATCTGGCCTTCCTGTTTTTCAGGCTCACCAATGGTTTACATCTTGTGGTGAACCCTCTGTATTCACTCTGGTGAAGTCTTCTCTTGATTGTTGACTTTTTGACACACATACATCTACCTCTTGGAGAGTGTTCTTGATCTGGCCAACTGTTGTGAAGGGTGTTTTCTTCACCAGGGAAAGAATTCTTCGGTCATCCACCACAGTTGTTTTCCGCCGTCTTCCGGGTCTTTTGGTGTTGCTGAGCACACCGGTGCGTTCTTTCTTTTTAAGAATGTTCCAAACAGTTGTTTTGGCCACGCCTAATGTTTTTTCTATCTCTCTGATGGGTTTGTTTTGTTTTTTCAGCCTAATGATGGCTTGCTTCACTGATAGTGACAGCTCTTTGGATCTCATCTTGAGAGTTGACAGCAACAGATTCCAAATGCAAATAGCACACTTGAAATGAACTCTGGACCTTTTATCTGCTCATTGTAATTGGGATAATGAGGGAATAACACGCACCTGGCCATGGAACAGCTGGGAAGCCAATTGTCCCATTACTTTTGGTCCCTTAACAAGTGGGAGGCACATATGCAAACTGTTGTATTTCCTACTTCGTTCACCTGATTTGGATGTAAATACCCTCAAATTAAAGCTGACAGTCTGCAGTTAAAGCACATCTTGTTCGTTTCATTTCAAATCCATTGTGGTGGTGTATAGAGTCAAAAATGTTAGAATTGTGTCGATGTCCCAATATTTATGGACCTGACTGTATGTGGTCTTTTATTAAACTTTCCAGTATCTTCCCAACTATAGAAGTTAAACTAGCAGGTCTATAATTACCGTATTTTTCGCTCCATAAGACGCACTTTTTTTCCCCCAAAAGGGGGGGGGAAATGTCAGTGCGTCTTATGGAGCGAATATAAAGCGGCCGGTCCGGTATTTCTGCCGCCACCATGTAGAAATACCGGCCGGCTGCTCAGCTGTTCTCTGCGGCAGGAACTCACCTGTTCCTCGGTCCAGCACTGTAGTCTTCCCGCGCCGGCTTCTTCTCACCTTGGCATCTGTGACGGCTGGGTGCCCACTGCGCATGCGCAAGAAGCGCTGCGCTTTGTGAATGGTCCGTTGTCTTCTGGAACACATGACAGGTCCCAAAAGACGCCGGGCCATTCACAAAGCACAACGCTTCTTGCGCATGCACAGTGGGCACCCGGCTGTCAAAGTCGGGTGCCCACAGTATAGGAAGGAGAACTCCGCGGAAGTGGGAGCGGGTACCTGTCAAATTCAGGTACCCGCTCCCCCTCCCTCCCTAAAGGTCCGCAGTCTCTGGTCATCCCCTGTACTGTCTGCAGTCTCTGGTCATCCCCTGTACTGTCTGCAGTCTCTGGTCATCCCCTGTACTGTCTGCAGTCTCTGGTCATCCCCTGTACTGTCTGCAGTCTCTGGTCATCCCCTGTACTGTCTGCAGTCTCTGGTCATCCCTGTACTGTCTGCAGTCTCTGGTCATCCCCTGTACTGTCTGCAGTCTCTCCCCTGGTCATCCCCTGTACTGTCTGCAGTCTCTGGTCATCCCCTGTACTGTCTGCAGTCTCTGGTCATCCCCTGTACTGTCTGCAGTCTCTGGTCATCCCCTGTACTGTCTGCAGTCTTTGGTCCATCTCCTGTACTGTGTCCGCAGTCTCTGGTCCTTCTCCTGTACTGTGTCCGCAGTCTCTGGTCCTTCTCCTGTACTGTGTCCGCAGTCTCTGGTCCTTCTCCTGTACTGTGTCCGCAGTCTCTGGTCCTCCTGTACTGTGTCCGCAGTCTCTGGTCCTTCTCCTGTACTGTGTCCGCAGTCTTTGGTCATCTCTTGTACTGTCTGCAGTCTCTGGTCATCTCTTGTACTGTCTGTAGTCTCTGGTCATCTCCTGTACTGTGTCCGCTGTGTCTGGTCAATTCCTGTACTGTGTCTGCAGTCCATTGGTTCAGAATTTTTTTTCTTGTTTTTCTCCTCTAAAACCTAGGCGCGTCTTATGGTCAGGTGCGTCTTATGGAGCGAAAAATACGGTACTTGGTAAAGATTTTAATCCCTTTTTAAATCTAGGCACCACAATGGTCTTCCGCCAACCCAGTGGTACTATGACAGTCATTAAAGAGTCCCTAAAAATGAGAAACATTGGCTTTGAAATGACAGCTCAATTCTTTAAGGACCCGTGGGTGTATGCCATCCAGTCCAGGTGCTTTATTCACCTTTATTCTGTCTAAATATTTCTGGATCATATCAGTTGTGAGCCAAAGTGGATCATCTGGGTCTGTGTCAATACAATGCGCATTATGGACAAGAGCTCCCCCATGCTCCTTTTGTATATACAGAGCTGAAGAAAGTAATTTAATAAATATGCCTTCTTTGTCCCCAGTCACCTGCTCTAGGTTATTTTGTAAAGAGCCTACATGCTCGGACCTGACCTTTTTTACTATTAACCACTTGCCCTCCAGAGGATATACCCTCTTTCCTAACCAAGCCATTTGTTGCATTCCTGCGCTGTGTTACTTTACTGAGAACTGCAATGTTGCACGCAAATGAAATTTGTCCTTTTTTTTTTTTCCCACAAATAGAGCTTTTTTTCGGTGGTATTTGATCGCCTGTGCGTTGTTTTTTTTGTTTTTTGTTTTGTTTTTTGCGCTATAAAAAAATACTGACCATTTTGAAAAAAAAAACCAATATTTTGGACTTTTTGCTATAAAACATTGTTCAGTAAATACATTTAAAAATCACATTTTGTCAAAAATTCAGGCCAAAATGTATTCGGTTACGTATTTGTTAAAAAAAATCCCAATAAGTGTAAATTAATTGGTTTAAGTGAACGTTATAGCGTTTACAAATGGCAGTATTTTTACACTAGTAATGGCGGTAATCAGCAACTTATAGCAGGACTCTGGCGGGCATTCTGACACTGGGGGGAACTGACTAACTGCCACTGACTGACATCCCCAGTGACACTAATACAGTGATCAGTGCTAATAGAAAGCACTGATAGTGTGCTGTATGTGATTTACTGGGTAAACAAAGCTGCTTTGTACTGCTTTGTTGTGCAGAGCAATACAAAGCAGCTTGTTCCTGCTGACAGGGGAGAGATCTGTGTTGGTTACATACAAACCTCTCCTACCTCTTCCAGCCGAGAATCGCACGCCCCCTACTTGGAAAAACAAAATCAGGTACTGTATATATACACGTGATTTTGTGCATTCTTGTCACCCAGTAGCAGTACTTCTGCTTTAGGGCGGTTGGGAAGCGGTTAACTTTGGCCGTAAGCCACATAGGTTTGATTTTTAGCCTTTTAAATTTGTTGCCCGTGGGATTATATATTTTGCAGTGTGTTCACATGCAGTCCTTTTGAAGAATTCCCATTTCTGTGTTGTGTTCATTGATGCCAATATTGCCTCCCAGTCTAAGTCTTGGAAAGCAGCTTCAGCCTTGGAAAATTAGCTCTCTCAAAGTTGAGTGTTTTTATTTTTCCCATATGTACTTGATGTTTGCAGCTAATAATAAATTAAATCATGTTATGGTCACTGCCCAGATGTTTTTATATGGGCATTTGTAATAAGCTCTGGTTTGAGATTACCAGGTCCAGCAGAGCATCATTCCTAGTTGGGGTCTCTATGAACTGTACCATAAAATTGTCCTGTAGTAGGTTTATACATTTTTGCCATTTTAACTGTTCCTCCAGTCAGTTTCCGAATAGTTAAAGTCCCCCATTATTATCACTGTCCCAGCCCTTGCAGCCCTTTTGATCTGTGCAAGGACCTGAGTCTCCACCTCCTCATTAACACTGGGAGGCCTATAACAAACTCCAATGATTACCTTTGCAGTATGCACCTCCATTTGTAGTTCCACCCATAATGCTTCAGCCTCATCAACTAAGTCCTACGTCACACTCACTTTGAGATCACTTCTCACATAGACAGACACCACCACCTTTCCTTTTTACCCTATCTCTCTGAATGAGAACATAGCCAGGAATATTAATGGCCCGGTCATTTGAAGAATGAAGCCAAGATTCAGCAATACCAATTAACTCATAGTTCTGTTCATGCACCAATGATTTCAACGTACCTATTTTGCTTGGCAGAGTTCTAGCTTTGGTGAACAAACACTTTAATGCATTTACGCTTTGTGCACACGTATTTTGCATATTTTTATTTTCATACAAGGAATATACAGGAAGATACAACAGCAAGAAACTCTACTGCATGCTGGACAAACTGCAAGCAAACACCCTGGGAAACATCTTACATGCCTGAGTCTCACTTCGTCTCCCATGTTACTCTCCTCACCCTTCTTCTCTTAACCTCTGGGGATATTTCCGCTCCAGAGGGGACGCAACCCCCGCTCCTGAGGGAACGCCGCCACCACCACCCCCGCCCCCGTCGGTACCCTCACCAGCCGCTCCGGAGGTCCTGCCATCGCCCAGGAGGAGTACTGGGGGCCCTGTCCCCTGCGGCCTACCGCTGCCTCTAAGCCTTGCTACTGCCCAACGTCTGAACCAGGACGCCGCCGTCCGCACCAGTGAGAGGGGAGCTTTCACCACCGCCTCCCCTACCTACAGCCGCCACAGTGAGAGGAGAAGCAGCAACCACCCCCACCGGCACCAAGAGGGCAAGCCACCACTACCAGATCTGCTTCCCTGCTCCCCACTGTGTACCACACAGCCGTGCCCCTGCCACTGCACAGCCCCGAGCCCTGTCCAATCCGGTAGTGGCGAGCCTGCCACGCGGCCTCCTACGCCCACTGACGCTGGGCCCTACAACACCTACGATCGCCGGACCCTACCGCTCCCACAGACGCTGGGCCCCTTAGCACCCTCAGTCGCTGGCCCGCAGCATCCACATGCACTGGCCCACAACACCCACTGACGCCGGGCCCTACTGCGCCTACCAACGCCTAGCCCACTCCACCTCCAGACGCCGGGCCTTCAGCACCTCCTCTCATACCAACCCCCAGCTCAACTTGACCTAAAGACTTGAACCCTTGTTGAAAGCCACCACAACGAGAGACCCCTCTGCGCCCCTGGAAACCGTCCATCCACACTCGATCCCCTCTCCCTTCTCCCCTACACTCCAGCCACCAGAAAACACTTTGATGAGATAGTCCAGCAAGCAGAGGCGTATCGACAACTAAGCCTCCCACCACTCCTATCCGCCCTCCTGGGCACCTCCCTAAACTGCCTCTTCCACTCCTCCTCATTTCCTCTCCTCCGTTCCCAAAATCCATTCACTATATCCCTCTGCTCCTCCCAAACAATTGTACATTGTGTCCTCTCTGCTTCCTTCATCCCTCTACGGCACCCACCACCTCCTCCTAATACTCCACTCTCCCACTGACCCGAACACCTCCACTAGTAGTTTCACATGTTCCTGCACATTCCGCTCCCATGCCACCTTTCTCGCCCTTCTCCTCCTAACTGCAGGGGACATCTCCCCGAATCCTGGCCCTCCACCACCTCCCTCACCCACACAACACCCTCCCGCCTCCACGTCCTGCCGCAACCCCCGCAACTTAGTATCTGTCCCCCTGTTACCTAAAATCACCCCCCCGTTTTCATCTGCATTCCTGAACGCCCGATCAGTGTGCAACAAGCTTACCGCCATCCACGACCTCTTTGTTTCCCGCTCCCTCAACCTCCTAGCGATCACGGAAATCTGGATCCAGGCCACTGATTCTACCTCCCCTGCTGCACTCTCCTACAGAGGTCTCACCTGGACCCACTCACCCAGACCCAACAGTCGTAAAGGTGGTGGGGTTGGTCTGCTCCTGTGACCGCAGAGCACCTTCTGAGTCCTCCCAAACCCCTCCTCTCTATCCTTCTCCTCCTTCAAGGCCCACTGTGGCTGACTATTCTCCCTAACCCCCCTGAAGATTGCTGTGATATACCGGCCTCCTGGATCCATATCCCGCTTCCTGGATGACTTTTCCTCCTGGCTACCCTTCTTCCTCTCCTCTGAGCTACCCACCATCATCCTTGGGGATTTCAACATCCTGTCAACCTCGACAACCCGGCCACATCCCATCTCCTCC